CCATGATTTAGGAGAGGAGTCAATCAAAACTTCAGGTTAAAAGACAGCTAAGAGAACAGTCTGTGGTTCCTGGAATGCAGTCTTCCCAGGATATCCCACTTTAAGCCTTTTTCTTTGTGTCTACACCCTAAGGGCAGGATAAATAATCTCTTATCAAGAACTTGACAACAAAACACTGAACCTCACAGTCTGAGCAGGGCCACTAACCATCCAGCCAGACAGATAATCCTCCAAGGGTGGGATGGCAGGAACATGTTTCTGGGGCCAGGAGGCCAAAATGAAGTCATTACTTTGAAATAAAATTCAAATATCAAAACCAAGAGGGACCACCAGCAAGTAGAGCTCGTAAAAGCCAAGCCATGTACAGACTACTATAAAGCCCAGGAGCAAGGCTGATAAGGTCCAAAGCAGAGCTGTGGTCTTCTCAATAGACAGGCTTCTTCTACTCAGCAGTGGGGTAATGACACTCAGAATTATAGTAGAGGATATACTCAAGAGGAAAAAAGGAAAAGCAAAAGACTAACAATTAGAAAATATATATCTATAAAGACCCCCCCTTCTGAACCCAGAAAAAGCAGAGAATTCTGGAAAGAATGTGGTCAGTACACTGATATATCCCAAATCCAGGGACAGAGGTAAATATCACACATTGGAAAAAACACGCTTAATCCTCTTCCAGGACTGGGGTTGCAACCCACTGTTGTGTCTCAAGGCTGGAACAAGTCTGTACCTCCTTGGATGAACACCAGATAATATTCCTGGCCACATGAGTGAAAAATGTATCTTCAAATACTACAAACACCATCCAAAGCATCAAGATGCTCACATTCTGAGGATACTCAAGAGCTAAAATCAAGTAGAGCAGAGCTGATTTGCCTCCCCCATCTCAAGGTGGCTCATGGCAATGAACTCGTTCAGTGGAAAAAGAGGGGAAACTGAGGCACTATCCAATCTGTCCATCTGTCTATTGACCTCTGTCTTTCCCTTCCCTTCACCTGTCCCCCTCTCCCACTCCACATCTCCAGCCCTCTGAGTTTCTGTTTCTCTGCCTCTATCTACCCTCTGCCTTCCCATATTATGAAGCATATCATGGAAGAGATGGAGGTTTGTGAAGCAACCATGTTATTAGGGAAAAAGGCAATCAGACTGGAAAGGGCTAACGTAGAACCCAAGAGGGGGAAATGTAAAAGAAACCCTGACCAGTGTGGAAACTATCCTTCTGTCTACTTGTAGCTACTTGTTTTAAAAATGTTTTGCTTAAGTGGGATTGGTGTTCAGCCACTGAGTTTTTTCTCCTGATTTTTATAATCATCACTATAGTTACACGAATATGCTGAAGTACACTGTTTTTGACAACCCATACACAGCTCACAAGTGGGTAGTTTTGGTTCTTCTCAATTAAATTCAGTTTCTACATGATCAAAAGAAAAGACTCCCCTTCATCTCTGTGTGTGTGTGTGTAGGGGGGGGCACAGGGGACAGCGATCAGAAACTAAGAGATACAGCTGACCAGAGGGGATAGATTTTGGTGTCTAAACAATAGTGGCAGCCTAGCCCAGCCTGGAAGGTCATCAATCACACCAACGCCTGTTACATTACAAGCACCAGCCTGGGTCTGTCCCTGATCTGGCCACTGTGGCCGTACCTGCGTCCACGCGCAAATCCAGGGCAGTGCTCGTGCCAGCTGGATCCTCTTGATTCTGTTTGTGAAAAACATGCGGTTCTAACCTGATTTACTGAAGTGAAATCAATTCACAAATAATACTTACAACTGCAAAAGATGAAGTTGAGAAAATTCTGAAAACTTCAGGTCCACCTAAAGGTGAGAGTTTTTCATCCCACTACCCTGGTAAAATGTTTACACACACACACACACACACACACACCCTCTGTTTCCCTCCTTCCTTGCCAATCTTGGAACACCATGACCAGGTCACAAAACAACGTTTAAAAAAAAAAAAAAAAGGAGAATCAACAAAAGAAATAAAATACTCATACCATGAACTGCATTCTCAGTATATGAATCAAGGAAGCAAAGAACATCAGTTTATTCTGTTCATTTTGCAAACATTTACAGAGCCCATTTATTAAGTATCTACTAGGTACAAAATTCCCTTTCCTAACACCCCTGACACAAAAAATTAGCCAGACTAGGTTATTACAAGTCTGTTCTCTCTCACCCAACATTTTCTCCCCACTTCATGGAGTGTTCTTGGCCTTGTACAATCTTGCTTCCTGAATTCTCTTCTATAACCACACTGCCTTGCCCATTGTGGTTTCACCTGTTGCATGACCTAATTCCAGGTCACCAGGAAGTGGTGATGGCCATCCTGCCCCGGCAGAAGATTTACACCTGCCTAGCTCAGGCTAACAGTCACTTGACTACTGACGACATTCCCCTTTAGGGGAAGGAGTCTTTCAATCTTCTACAAAAAAACCAACTGAAGAGTCAGTTGACACACATCCCAGAGACCATTTTCATCCATTTACAGTGCAACCTTATTTCTTCTCTAAGACCACAATATTGATAACCAGGGAGTTTGACCCAAACGTGTTTAATGTTTTTAAACCAGGAGTTTGATCGGTCTTACAACTGGAAATACTGTCAACACTACCACATTTTGCTTAATAGGAGCCAAACATTCTAATATCTGATAATTAATCTTCTCAACCTGGACATGAAAACCTGCTGGATAAGCATTGGAAAAGAAGCCACCAGGGGTGCCAGATGAGAAAAAAAGCCACCCGATGAAATGGCACACCTTCCTAAAGAAACAATTTCCCCACTGGAAGAAAACATGATATTTTATAGTAAAATAAGCCCCAACATATCATGGAGTTAAAATGAACAAACACATGAACTTTTTTAAAATTAAAAACTCAAGGCTTCAAAGACAGCTCCTGGTTACTACTGGGCTATGTTCACTATATATGGAATTTCTTACAAATAACCCTCTTACCTTTAAATGTTCTTTGATGAAATTTTTGAGAAATGTTTCACCCACACTATAAACTTCTTGAAGGCATGAACTACATCTCATCCTTCTCTTTGTCCCCAGGGACCTAGGGCAGGACCTACGGCAGTGTCTGGCACAAAATAAGCACTCACTAACGTCTGCAGAATTAATTTGGCTGAAATAATGCCAACAGCATTATCGATAATAAATGATTTTTACCGCATTCGGATGAGAGGAAGGGAAGGTGAACAGCTGTAGGAGGAAGTGGAATAGAAGCAATAGAATTTACCAAAACAGTTACTGGCTGCCATGGTAACAATCAGATGAAGCAACTCAGTTTAGTTCTTTTCCACTTGAACAAGCACAGGAAGGCAAATATTGTACTTGTTAATCTCCAATCACAAGGGGGTGTGGCTTAAAATACAAGTCTACCAGGTGACACTGGTGCACATTAAGTTTAATAACCCTTGAAGAGTTTGCAAAGGCATCATGATAATACCAATATAACGATATTGGTATTATCATGATGAAATCAGGTAGTATATAGAAATCAGGTAATATTAAAACCTGGTTTCTATACTGATACTAAGAAGACCATCCTAATCATTACAAGTGTCAAATATTTGCTGCTGAGACTTAACAACTGTGAAAAGTAGATATGTGAGTAGGTTCGTGTGTAAAACATCCCGTGGGTTTACATTCCCTGATTCTTAAAATTGTTGCCTTTTGTAATTAGTTGGACCTAAACCAAGTTACAGATAAAAGATAATTCCAACAATATATTTTGCAGCGATGCTTACAGCTTCTCCAGTGGAGAGATCATATTTTAACTCATTTGTACATAATAGAAAAGGTGAGTATCACACCCACGTTCTCTACACCATCCTTCTCATACTTGCAGTGAGTCAGCCTCCATGCCTTACTCTCCAAACAGGAGGGAGGAGCTGGGAGGAGGAGGAAGTGGGACTCCCAAGCCAGCAGGTCCAAGCTGTGAATGGGTGAGCAAGACCACTGATCCTCCCAGGGCTATGTGGTTTTGAGTTTTATGTCTAAGATATGCAAGTTGCTTTTCATCCATAATCCAAACAGAGAGCAGGAATACATTTTACAGCATTAACAAGTTTAGAGTGTCTGAGGAAAAAGTGAATACAGCAGTTCAAGACACACCATGATAGGAAGGAAAGCACAGACACAAATTGCTGTTGAATAAAACCTAAACATTTTTCCACGCCTGGCCCTGCAGGCATTTCCTTCCCCCCTGAGAATTAAGTTAGTAACTTGATATCATTTCTGTTGGAGCCATAGAGTTGAGAATTTATTATATAACTTTATCAGTTTATTCCATTGTATAAAAGAGTTTTTCAGTTCAACAACATATGGGATCAAATCCCTGCTCTTTCATTGTTCAGTCAAGTTCCTTAACGTCTTATGGGCCTATATTTCTGGGTCTAAATTTCTCCAATTAGAAATGAGAAAATCCACATTCCGGGGTTGTTGCAAAAATTAAATGAACGAACTCTGTAAAATGCCTAATACATGGTAGGTATCAATGAGTATGCAAGTCCAGCAATACAAATGCCCAACATGTTTCGTCTTCTATGTTGTAGGAAAACAACAAATACAAGAACTACTACATATCAGGGACGCCAGTTTGACAATCCGCAGATCACAGCTCCGGGGTGCAGCCGGGGGGGCCTTGCTAGAAGGTGCGATGAGATCTGGAGAGCGCTCCTAAACTCTGTCTGGGAACAAACTCTTGATGCTGTGGATCTCACTGGGGCCCTGGTAATTAATAAAGTGACTTTTGCAAGGCTCAGAAGCGAGCAAGCGAAACTTTCTCCCCAAACCCTGACTCTGAACGCACTCCCTTTCTTCAACTCTAGGGGATCTCCCCTTGGAAAGTGGGACGGAGAAAAGCAACTCAGAAAGAAGAGCTGGGTCCGGTAGGTCTGTTCACTCTGCGGGTTAAGAGGGAGACGCCAGCGCACCAGTGAGAGCAGGTAACACCCTCCTCACCTCCCGCCCGCCAACCCACACACGCACCTGGGGATGAATTTGGCCTCCTCTCCAAGTCGCGCCTGGAAGTCCTGCCAAGGCTGGCCAGCGCTCGCCCGACCCCAGGGGGCTGCCAGCGCGTCCCCGTCGCCCTCGTCCTCTTGGCTGTCCTCGGGGTCGGGTCCCACCTGGGCTGAGGCGGACGCGGGCTCCCGGGAAGCCGAGCCTCGGTGCCGCCCCCCGCGGCAGAACCCACGGAAGCCGCGCGCGAACTCCTGGAAGGTGATGGCGCCGTCGCGGTCAGCGTCTAGCCGCTGGAACACGGCCTCGGCGTCGGCCGGCCGCACGCGCAGCTCCGCGCACAGCGCGCCAAACTCCTCGCGCTCCAGGCGCCCCGAGCGGTTGGCGTCGCAGGCAGCGAAGAGCGAGCGCAGGGGAGCCAGCTCCTCCCGGTCCCCGTCCGCCTCCATCCCGCCCGGCGAGGGTAGTCCAGACGGCTCCGGGGCGCGACGGGGCGCGACGGGGCGCGCGGCCCGCCAGGTCAGTGGTGATGGCGGGAAGTCCGGGGCCACCTGCTGCCGCCAGGAGCCGCGGGGAGTTGGCCTCGTCCGGCTGGTTGGGCCACTTGCAGGAATGTCCGGGCGGGGCGGGGCGCCTGCGCGGGCCGGGGGCGGGGCGCTCCAACGCTGGTCCCGCGCGCGGCCCTTTCCCGCCCGGGAGCGGGACTCCGTGTACAGCGCAGCAGCGGCCACCAGAGATTGAGCGCCCCGCGGGTCGGCTCTCACACTTTCCGCTCCGGCCCGGCTCCGCCCAGCCAGGTAGGAGGGGCGCGTGGCCTGGGCTCCCACGGCTCCGGAGCCCGCTGTGTCTTCTGCGCCAGGCTCCGGAGCCCGCTGTGTCTTCTGCGCCAGGCTCCAGCCGGCTGAGCCAGGGTTGGGGCCTCTTGGACTTGGGGCAACCGGCCCGAACCCGGGCTGCAGCGGTAGCGTTTGCCAGGGTCTTTGGAGTAAAACACTGGTTGCTCAGGTAAAGCCAAGAGCTAGCAGGAGTGTGCAAAGATACCTGGACAAAAAGAGCAAAGGAAGATAGGAGTAGGACTCCAGATTGGTTAACGTTATGCGTATTTCAGTCTCTTGTAATTGCGGAACTTTGGTAAACGTCTGCATATACAAGTTTTCTTGCAAACTAATCTACGAGATTTACCAGAACACCCAATTTTCTGATTTTACTGGCTTTCCTTAATGCATGTCCTCCCAACATTAAGTTCCAACTGGAAGATCACACAGATCTTCCAGATCCCCGTATCCGAATAATTTTTCTCGGTCCTTGTCTCCACAACCTGAGAAAGAATTAGTAATCAAAATCCTTTGGCAGGCAAGGACAGTTAAAAACTAGGGTGATTTTTAAAATTTTTTAAGATAAGTCTTAGGGAAATCTTATGTCCAAGTGCATGTTACCCTTTGTTTTTAAACACTTATTTCAGCAGTGCTATTGTTTCTTTAATACAGACTGCTTAATGGGTACAAGATCTTAAAAATTCGGTCATTTTGATCTTTCTTTTTTTCAATCTTACCCTGTTTCCTAGAGACCCTCCTCACTCTGTCATGTGACTTATGCGTATGTTCCCTCCAGTGATTCTAATAGCCTGTGAAAATGAATTTGGGTTATTTTTACTTTATTTACATTATCCATTCCCTCCACGCTTTAGACTTTCTTTTATGTACAGCCATTTCTTTTAGTTATAACTCTGTATTTCCATTTTTATCTCATTCTGGATTTTCTTCATTGCTTATTACTTTGCTTTTTTTTTTTTATTATGATTAAAATAAAGTAGGGGATTGGACAGACATCCCTCCAGGCTGGTGTTCTTAAACATAAGACTAAGTGCTAACCATCTGAGGAACTGTTAATTCTTGAATAGTACAATAAACAGAGTCAATGCTCAGCATCTATCAAGCCATAAATATCACTGATAATTATCATCTATAAATTTAACTGGTAAATTATGAGAGGCATTCCATTAGAGGCCCTGATCTTAGCAGTCTAATTGCTAAGTGAATATAGTTCCATGCAAGTGGACAGCTAACACACAAAATGAATTTTATCATTATTGCAATATAAATTGTTATTGATTTTGAGTTCATGTGCCTTCCTGTTTATTCTAAAGATTGATTTTTCCATATAAGGGAAGGCGTGGCTAGCTAGATGATACCCTTAAAGCTTTAGAAATAGACTTGTTCAACTCAACCTTTGAAGTATTATTATCATTATACTGTTAGTAATTACTAAATATCTGTAGTTTTCAAAATAGATGAGTTAATATTTTTAACTATTTAGACAGAAGTGCTTTCTTGAAGACTGCTCCTGCAACTTCATTCCTGAATTCACTTTGACCATTGCCCTCAGTTTCTAAATTCTTGTATTTTTTGTCCTGCTTTGCCCTTTCACTGAGTCCCTTGACTGAAAAGTCATCAAGAAATACAGATCCTTGCAAATGTCTTGTGTACACATCTTTTCATTTCCCGTGATAATGATCTATCCCAAACCCACTCTAAGTGATCTACCACTGCATAACAACACAACAGTCACTTAATGATTTAAAACAACAACCATTTCATTTGTTCATAATTTTATGGTCATTAACTTGGGCAGGGTTGGGTAAGTAGTTTTTCTGCAGGCTTGCCTAAGATTATGTAGCCGTGGTGGTTTCACTGTGGCTGCATGGTGTTAGAAGGCCTCACTCATATCTGGAAGTTGGTGTTGGTTGTTAGGGGGACATATGTCTTCAAGAGGCTAGCATGGGCTTTGTTACATGGGGACAATGTTCCAAGAGGCTAAATCCCAATGCACAAATGCTTTTCAAGCCTCAGCTTATGTCATGGTTGCTGATATCCCATTGATCAAGGCAAGCCAACATGGCCAGCAAAGCCAACATGGCCAATAAGGCAAGCCAACATACCCTCACTGTGGGAGGGCACTATACAAGATCACAGAGAGAGGGACTTGTACTTTATTAGGGGCCCATATTATAACAATGTATCATACTTAAAGTACTGGGATAGTCTCTAAGACATTTTCTTAGATTCCTGTCCTGCCGACCTTCTTCTGTTCATTCTACACAACCACAATTGGACAGTCCTTCTTAAACACTAATTATTCTGTCACCTAGAGCTCAGTTATTCTCAATCTGTGATAATTTTGTTACCCAGGAGACATCTGGCAATGTTTGGAGACATTGGTTGTCACAATTTGTCAAGGGAATGATGCTACTAACATCTAGTAGGTAGAGACTAGAGATGCTGCAAAGCATCCTGTCATACACAGGGCTAGCTTCCCATGACAAAGAGTTATCTGGCCAAAAATGTCAATGGTTAAGAAAACCTACATCCTAGCTCATAAATTCCCAGAGGTTCCCCAATAAAAAGAGAACCGAGGGTTAACTCTTCATCTGTACATTCAGAGTCCTCTGGGCCCACTTCATATACCCAATATCTCTCCGTTTAGATTCCATCAGCGCTCCTACTATCCACTTGATTATGTAATTAACATAATAGCTCCTTATTATTGTCGCAAAATGTAAATATTAAACTTAATTTTCCCCTCTCTGTCTAACCAAACCATTTCCCAGCCTTTGAGGAAGAGTTGGATCCTTCTGTTCCTACCAAAGTTTCCACAATTTCATTGTGACCTGTCACAAAGACGTTACTTAGTATGAATTATGTCAGCTCAAGTAAACAAGGCACAAGAATGCCCCCCCCCCTTTTTTTTTCATGGTTTTACTTTTCAAGTTAAAGTTCTATTCTGTCTGGAATTTGGTTTGGGTCAGGTATGAGTTGTGGAATTAACCTTACAGTAATTTTTCTAGTTGTTCTAACACTGGTTATTCAACTGTCCCTTCCCCATGGATTTAAATGTCACTTTTGGCATATACTCAATTCCTCCCTGTATTTGGGTTTATTTCTGGACTTTCTAGTCAGTTCTATTAAGGAATCACATTTTGAAGGAACTCTTGAGCTTATAAAAAGATTCCTGAAGTTCCTAGTGGGTTGCCTTTCATATTTTAAGTGTTTTTTTATACATCATTAAGCGTATGGCGGAGGAGACCAGGGGAAACAGAAGAGGAGGTAATGAAGCTTAAGACTAATTCATTAGGCACAAGTACAAACTGACAACATCTGAAATTGTCATGTAAATCAGTGAGAAAATAATTGATTTATAGAAAGAGTAAAGAACCTCCAGTTTATCTAAAGCATGAGATGCTTCTGCAAAGCCATTCACAAGTTACTGAGGAATGCTTCTGAATATCTTCAGCAATATACTCAGGGGAAGGCCAGGGTTATGTAATCTGTCTCTAATTTTTTCAAGAAAGAGGGAGAAGAAAGAAATAGGAAGCATTTCTTTTCTGTTCTAGCATTCAGAAACAGCTCATGAGAAATTGGAGATAACAGAGCAACCTTTGAGAGCCAATGAATTGGTAGGTAAAGAGAGCTTGCCTGTATTTATTAGCATGACTTTGAGAAAGATCAGCTTGCTCTGTGGCTACCCAAGGATTTTAAAAATCAGAGATAATCTTGTTAGAGTGTGTTTCTCAAAACAGTGAAAAGATATTATGTGATCAAATACTTCTAAAACACAAATAAATTTGGAAAAGAATCCTATTCTGCCCCTTCTTGGATGAGATAAAGAAAGCGGTTTATACTTGCTTAAGCTAAAATTTCCTAAATGTATTTGACTGTGAAAGTAGGGTTTTGGCTTTGGTTTGGTTTTTGTTTCAATTTCTGAGGGCTTTCCCCCAACTTAGTGATCCTGAGAACATTCTTCGGGAAATCACTGACCAGGGTAACGAGTCATGAGAAATTATTCCTTTGCCCCAATATCATAAATTGACCCAACTTCCTATAACGGGGAATTAGCACAACCCCCTAACCTCCTCTTCACTCAGTAAAATGGGAGAGGCTTTTAGTGGAAGCCTGTTGTAATCTACCCTATAGGATTTCTTTCAGGTACAAGAGCCTTCCTCAAAGTCACTTAACATTCCAGTTACTCTACCCCAGAAAGATCCAATGAGCCTGTTAAGATGGGACAAGATATCCAAGTAATGGCATACCACTGAGGGACCAATTAGGAGGTTCAGAAATTTCTCAAACATAGGCACCCCTGCAAGACCTTGAGTCTTAGTGCTCTCATGAATATCTGCCATGGCTTGCTGTTCCTAAGGAAGTTACAAGAAAATTTTGAAGATTTTACAAAAAAAAAAAAAAAAAAAGAATGTGTCCACAAATTTACATCATAGTGATTAACTTGCTCTTAAAGTAAATCTGGAAAAAAGAGAAAAGAATAATGTAACACTGATATACCCAAAATTGCAAATATGAACATTTTGTCAGATCTTTTTTTTTTAATAAAATACAGCATTATGGATCCATCCAGATGAACTTCCTCTTTAATTGTGTATTGTTTCTGTAATCAG